CCGCTGTTGAAACTGATCAGTTTCAGCAGCGGCTGAATCTGGACGCCAGTTCCGACTTACATACAGATTCAACTTAAGAACAAACCTACAGTCCCTATCTTGTACGTAACCCGGGGACTGCCTGTATTCACTCCAAGCTAGGAAATCAACTGAAAATTTAAAAAGCAGGAAAACTCATATCTGTTTCAGTCAATGAATCAAAATGACAGTGGCAGTGGTGAATACGAGAGATAGCTGTAGAAGTTTTAAAAACACCATGCATTTAAATATTCTGAGAACTTGTCTCTTAAGAACGAATAAAAATTGAAAATTAAAAATAAAGGGTTTTTTTGGGCAACCATCAGCCAGCAACTCAGGAGACAGCTGCCATTGCAAATGTGAAACATTTATGTAACATTTAAGATTTAGTTTAATAAAATATAAGTGCTATTGTGTGGGGGAGTGATTTAGTTCTTAACATTCCTAATGTACTGCTGCTGCATCTTCAGCTTGACACAGACAATGAGTATTATGTACTATTTTCTGAGATAATAAAAATCAAATAATCTAAAAAGTTACATAAAGTATACCTCTTAGATGTTATAAATGATGTACTGAATTGTAAATTAGCATGTTTTAGTGATGAGATATGAAGCACTGTTTAATAAATGCGTGCAGTAGTATCAGTGAGAAACTGGATTTAAAAAAAAAATCAATAATTCTTTCAGGATGATTTAAATAACGATATAAACCCCTTTGATTTAAATCCATCCACCATGGCACAACAGGCACAAGACAAGAACTTTTTTTGTACATTTTATAAATGAAAATAAACAAAACAGTACTAAAATTAAGCCAGTCTGTACTAGAAAATCTTTTCAAAGTCTGAAACTGAACATTAGAAGTTTAAATATATCTTTATTGTTGTGTTTTCTCTTCCATAAACCATGTTTTGTTTTAATAAAACAATAGTATGTGCTTTAATGCTAATTCTGGGAACATAGCACAGTTTAGTTTTGGAAACAAACACCCTCCTCACACGAAAAAGACAAAATAAGATTAACTGGTATAAAGGTAATTAGGAACATAAGGAAGAGGCTGCAAATTCTGACAGCTGAGTGTACCACAAAACAGTGGCTAACTTTGTACAATGATAAGCCATAGTGTATCACTGATACCTTACAAGGCAACTTATCCATAATTAGCTCAATATATACTCAATATCTTAAAACTATCAACTATTTACCTGAGAGCCAGAAACACCAGAAGGTTGCATATAATACTGTTGGTTCGGTAGTTTTGCATACATGGAATACACTGGGTCTTCATTCATCAACTTGGTATATAATGAAAGAGCCTCCATAACCTTAACATTGAGCTCTGAAAGTTCTGAATGTTTCCTGAAATAATGAATGATATTTTCATTCAAATTGAAGTTACCTTTTGTAGAAATATTTTCATATATCATCTATTATATCATATGGCTTAATATACATTTTAGTCATTTATACTCAAGTGGATATAATACAGTGGATTTGTACATAAGGTACTATAGCAAACTACTCTTACTGTATGGGAAGTGTTGCCTAGACATATTGATCAAGCATTGTAATTGTGACTGGCAGTCAGAGAAATATTAATTTTTTATCAAGTAGACAAGCAAAAAAATAATTTAAATTAATTACTCCTGAGTATTAAGTAGGAGATACAGTATTTCAGCATTCTAAAATTAGCAAAATAAATAATTCACTAATATTACTATCACACCTTTGAGAGAAAATATGCTCAGTCATCCTGCCATGATGGACCATTCTATTATTTATAATTTATATTACCATAGTGTGTAGGAGTCATAGTGATGGAGCAGAACGATAAACAGCATGGGCTTTCTACATGTACATTTTATACTGAAATTATTGATAGCACCATAATGTAAACAATTCATACTTGTGCTATTATTTCAAAAGTTTCTGAGCCATAAAAATCAGTATAAGCATATGTGTGCGTGCTTGTGTATGTTTTCTTACCTGTCAATATCTTCTAGCTTTTCATCAATGAGAGGTCCCATTTGGTGGCATATGGCTAGGAGAGAATTACATTTATATAATCAGAATTATGAAAAAATTCAGTAGTTAGTACTGAAAAGCAGAACGTAATCTTAAGAACATAAGAACATCTATACTAGGTCAGACCAAAGATCCATCTAGCCCAGTATCCTGTCTTCCAACAGCGGCCAATGCCAGATGCCCCAGAGCAAGTGAATAGAACAGGAATCAAGTGATCCCTCTCCTGTCATCCACTTCCAGCCTCTGACAACAGAGGCTAGGGACACCAGTCATTGATGGACCTAACTCCAAGAATTTATCTAGTTCTTCTTTGCACCCTGTTAATCTCCTGGTTTTCACAGAATCCTCTGGCAAAGAGTTCCATGGGTTGACTGTGTGCTATGTGAAGAAAAACTTCCTTTTGTTTATTTTAAACTTTCCACCTATTAATTTCATTTGGAGACTCCTAGTTCTTATGTTATGGGAACAAGAAATAACTTTTCCTCATTCATTTTTTCTACACGAGTCATGACTTTATAGACCTCTATTGTATTCCCCCCAAGTCTTCTCTTTTCTAAGCTGAAAAGTCCTCGTCTTTTTAATCTCTCTCCATATAGGACCCATTCCAGACCTTTGCCCTTTTCTGAACCTTTTCCAATGCCAATATATCTTTTTTGAGACAAAACTGTGACGGTGCAGTCAGAGTTCCCCACAAATCCTGCACCCCGTCTACAGCAAGAACAGATTTCACCAGTCAGTAGAATGGAGGGTTTATTGCTTCTCAAGGATACAGCACAACATAGACTTGATATTGCTACAGGAGTCTGGGCCAGGATGCCTAAGATCCCTTTGGGTTAGGGTGGTCCATCACTCCCCTAGACAGGGAAGAACTGTTTTGCGCAAAAAAGCCCCCATGGCTAAAATGGTGATCGGGGCTTTCTTGTGCAAAATCATGTCTAGACTGGCCACAGATGCTTTTGTGGAAATACTTTTAACGGAAAAACTTTTCCATTAAAAGTATTTCCGCAAAATCATGCCAGTCTAGATGCAGCCTTCATGTTTCCCAGCCAGCAACTGCTCCTTCCCCCGAAACCTGGTGTTGGTCTCTGCCTTTCTCCCTTTCTCTCTCCCCCTGGGAATCCTGTTATCTCCTCAGGCTGAGCCCAGGTGTCTAGGTTAATACACATTTGGGTGACTCAGTGGGAATCACACATCACAGTGCAGGGGGACACCAGGATACAGAGCAGACAGCACTCCCACTGAGCCACAGAAGTGACCACTTCTGTATGCAGTGCTCAAGAGGTGGGCATACCATGGTTTCATATAGAGGCAACAAGATGTTCTCTGTTTTATTCTTTAGCCCTTTTTTAATGTTTCCTAACATTGTTTGCTTTTTTGACTGCCACTGCACATTAAGTGGATATTTTCAGAGAACTATCCAAAATGACTCCAATATCCCTCTTTTGAGTAGTTATAGTTAAATTAGGCCTCTTCATATTGTATGTAAAGCTGGGATTATTTTTTCCAATATGCATTACTTTACATTTGTCAACATTAAATTTAATTTGCCATTTTGTTGATCAATCACTTGGTTTTGTGAGGTTTTTTTTTTTTTGAAGCTCTTCACAGTCTGCTTTGGTCTTAACTATATTAAGCAGTTTTGTAGCATCTGCAAATTTTGCCACCTCACTGTTTACCCCTTTCTCCAGATCATTTATAAATAGGCTGAATAGAATTGGTCCCAGTACAGACCCTTGGGGGACACCACTAGTTCTCTCTCTCCATTCTGAAAACTTACCTGCCATTGGTAATCATTGTTGCAAGTGCTTTTTTAAAAAATAGTAACCTCAAACATTTAGATGTCAAAAGAAATTTCTAAGATCATAAACAAAAATCTATATTTTAATTCATAAAAGATAGAGTAAATGTTGGTTATGCACCTTTTTTATTAGAGGTTGAGGCCTAGGTTCTCTAAATTAGATTTTGCAAACTGAGAAGCAACAGACTCAGCATAAATCAGCCTCTCCCCTTTACATTTTGGAGGAAATTGAATAACTCAAGAGCTTTTTGCAGTTCTCTCTGTTCTTTCACAGCACCACTGTCCTGGAATTCATAACCAGAAGCCAATTCTGAAGATGTTCAATAGATATTAGTAGACTGTTGCAAAACAAACAAATCTAGATTGTAATTTTCACAACTAGATCTCAACAGTACTATACACAGGAGGCAAATATCATTATCACCATGTTACAGATGAAGAAAATGAGAAGCAAGATAACCCAGCAGGCCAGTGATAAAAAAAAATTACTAGGTCTCTAGTTTCTGACATTTTATAAATACCGCCAGGTTATTTTGGCAAGTTTTTAAAAGAATGGCTACCTACAGCAACTGGTTCTTCTGCATGTATTCCACTCTTGGTACAAATGAGCCCCACATGCACAAGACTGCATAGTTGGCTAGCAGCATCCACTGAGACCAGGCCAGCATCCTTTATGGCTCATGCCCTATTCATTCTCCTTCCGTTCTCCCCCCGAATCACGGGCATAAAGCAGTGGTTCTCAATATTGTGTATTGGTGACCCCTTCCACACAGCAAGCCTCTGAGTGCAACCCTTGCCCTTTTACATTAAAAATACTTTCCTTATATTTACCATTATTAGTCAAAACAGTCCACCAGTGGCTTTCACTTTGCTTTTCAAATGTTCAAGAGCTGAGGGTGGGTTCTTGTACATTTCAAAAGCAGGGAGAATAGGGCCAGCGGGGTACTGTTTGAGTCCCCAGCTTGTCCCAGGTTCCCTGCAGCACTTCTGCTTTTGAAATGTAGAAAGCTCTGCTCTTGCAAGCTCTGCCACTTCCCAACTGCACCCTGCCCCTACTCTCCATGGAGACATTGCTGGAGGGAACTGGCTTTTAAGCCGGTTCCCCCCAGCACCCGATCCTGCTCTCCCCCTTTCCTGCGTCTCTCTGATAGAGACAGCAAGGGAGGATGGGGAAAGTGACTAGTCAAGTCAGTAGTCGACTATCAAAGAAGCATTTGATTAACAGAGAGTCGACTAGTCGCTTACATCCCTACTCTGGACTCTAGGGCATTTATGAGAAGAAAAGCATATTGAAGACACACTGAATTTGAAAGTGATCTACATGAACCTCATTCACCACTCTTAATAGGTAGAAGTGTAGAGAAAGAATTTTTTTACCACCAGCTGAACAAAGAGGAATTCTTGAAAAAATTTTATCAGGTAGAGAGAGAAAAAAAGAGACAACTTCAAGAAAGATTGTTGATGTGCTGGTTTGCTTCATGGGGCTAGAACAGAGGCCCAAAGAAAAGAGCCACTCTTGGATAACCTCATGAGACATAGAATAAAAGATTATTGCCCTCAAATGGAAGGCTCTCATTTGCTGTTTGGATCTCTTCTAAGTAGAAGTGGCAAAACTTAAAAAGAAGGGCCCGACGGTTAGTTACCTGCATCTGGAAGATGGCTTACAAGAATACCTTGTGCTCACAAAAATCTAATTTCTTTAGGCTTTTGTCTTTCAACATGGTTTAAGGAGGTTCCTCTTTGACCTTCTTGGAAAGCAACCTCTACAGGACAATTCAGAACTGGATGGGAGTACAAATATTTTGTTCCCTTAGGAGGGACATGACATCCCTGTGAGCTCGCACTATGGCTGGGATAGACACTATTGTATGCCACAAGTTTTTGCAGACTTCAACAGCACTTTTCGGCACAGGGAGCCTGTCATGGAAGAGTGTAAGATCTAACACATTTGTGGTTTTCCCTTGACCACATATATAATCCTGAGTCTCTGTCATGTGCCTAATGATGTCCTGGAATACCAGGAAATCATCCACTGAAACAGATGTAGAATGGTTCATTGCCTTATCTAGGGAGGAAAGTCACATGGGAGAGCAAGTGTTCTTCTGATGCTCCTCCTCATTTTCCTCCTCCTGCCTTTCCAGGATTTAAAGCTGCACAAGTTGGAAACACTAAAGGGTAAAAGGGTAAAAAAAGGGGAGTCTATCAACAGGGCTGCAAGCCTATGAGTCCCGGGTCTCTTCCAACCACCTCTCATGAAATCTTTCTAGAATCCTTATCTGACTGCCTCTGTGCTACCCAAGAAGGGGAAAGTGAATAGTTGGAAGATGAGAAAGAAAAGGAGGAAAAGCCATTCAACTGGAAGTGCACTGCATTTGGAGAGGAAATTGTGGTACTGGGTATGCCACCTTAACTTGATGTATTGATATCTCAGAAGCTGACTGAATGGATATCACCACCCTCAATCCTCCAAAGAAGAGATATGGGCCCATAGTTAAGTTACTCAGTGCAGTGTTTGCTCTGGGTGCCATGGCACCCAGGAGTCCAGGTGCCAAGAGAAATGGAATCTGAGAATTTAGGGGTGCTGTCTTGGCAATCAACAGCCATGAATATCAGGTGGCCTTGTGTAGCCAGACAGGAACCCCCCTGTAACATCCATCTTTGTTTGCCTGGAGCATGCAGGGCACCCAGAGCAGTAAGCGTTGGAGCAGGAGGCTCAGGATATGCGGGCTCAGTGACCCTGAATGGCTGTAAACAGAGATATGCCAATTGCTGACCAAGAGGCTGCCGAGGAGTTCCCTTGACTGAAACCCATATTGATACAAACACACAGCTGTCCGCGGGGGAAGTAATCTCTTGCCCAGTAAAAAAAAAAAATCTAGTACTCACAATTTAGTTCTCTCTGTTGCAAGTGTAAATTAAGTTGAAACTTGCTTGTAAGAACTGGCGCCACAAAAACAGACCAGTACAATTTGGCATCTTAGATAAGAAAGAGGATACGGGCCCCTATGGGCATAAAGATGGGTCCAGCAGCACATTTACTCTGAGTGTCAATCTACCATCTATCTGCTGGTCGGGTTAGGTGTTTGACCTCCCGAGGTTCCATGGGGAAGCTCAAGAGGCACAGAAGGGGGTAAAAATTGTACCTGGATGTGGTCCTTTGTCTTAAGTGTACACATAGACTTAGAGCTCTTTAAAGATTAAGCTGTCACTTGGTACCATTATTTCTATTTTCTATCTTTATTTTCTTTGTAACCATTTTTAAGATCTATATTTGCTAGCAGTTAAGAAAGAAGAGCAATAGCCATTGTAACCATATGCTTTATAAGCCTTTTTAATAAACCTGTAACTGTTTAAGCTTTAAACTGACTCCTTCAGTTGCTGTAACAGAACCAAGCACAATTTAAAAGAACTTCAGCCGGACAAGTATAGGAAGAGCTTGGGCGTTTTGGATTATGTCACTCCCAGGTGACAGATCCGTTGGGGCATCTCTCAGTCTTCCCTAGACTGCCCGCTGCGAAGGGATCCTGTATCCTAGCAGCTGAAATCTGAGATGTAATAAGCTCTTCCTATAAACTCTGGGGCATCTGTCAGCCTGTTGGCTGCCCTCCGCGACAGGACCCCAGTCCTAGCGGTAAAGTCACGGACGTTAAACCTTTTCTCGGTCACACACACACACACACACACGCACACACACACACGAACAATCATTCAAAAAAGAACATGCCTTACCTTCAAGATGAAGCCGCTCTGGGAGATCTGGTTGATCATCAGCTGGATCCGCACTTTGTAACATCTGTAGCAGTTGGTCCATTTTATCCTATAATGAAAAGAAGAGAATTAATATGGGAACAAAATAGCTGGGTTTTATACTGCATTCCATAAAAGTACTGTAATGCAATATTCTTTTATATCCCCAGTGTAAACTGACTTTGATTCTCCATGATAAGGAGTCTACAGCATTAACACCACATTTAGTTTCAACAGATATGAACTACAATATGAACCTGTATGTAAGATTTTCATCCCTAGTCATGGTAATTATCACAGGGCCCAACACATCCCCTCCTAAAAAAAAAAAAAAAAAAACCTTAACAGTGCAAAAAGAGCTAGAATGCTCCATTTAATTTCCTGAAAAAGTGTCATTTCAAAATGTTTCTACTGAATTTCTTATTTCCCTGGAATTACTTATTTTCCATCTGAAAGTTTCAACCACACACAAAGCAAAGGTAGCTTTCAAAGAAAGCCAGACAAGAATTTTAAAAAGGATAAGCCACAAATATGACAAAATGGTTTAACAACATGTGAAATGTAGAATATTCCTCTTATATAGAAGTCATTCCTCAGAATTTTATTTATAAGCAGCTTCTACTTCTTATTCTACCTTAATTACATAAGCAATGCTACCACCTAGTGGATATATAAGTATCTACAAACAAGCATGTTAAAAGAAATGCATAAAGATAACTCCAACTAAATATGTATTTTAAAAGGCTATACTTTGAAAGCATAACTTGTAGTCTATAGGCACCTAAATAAAGTATTTATTAACATGTAGGAAGAGAGAAGGTTACTCACTTTGTGCAGTAACGGAGGTTCTTCGAGATGGTGCTCCACCTTAGGTCTTGCGGTGCTGCTGTGTGGCTAGACAGAGATTTACAGTAGCAGTACCCTCCAGTGTGCCGCACATGTGAGGCAAATGGCATGCATGGTGCTGCTACCACGCATGTGCGGCCATCATTCCTTCAGTTCCTTCTCTGCCCCAGAAGAAAAACTACTCCTCTGAAGCAGAGGAAAGGAAGGGCAGGTGGTGGAGAACCTCCGTTACTGCACAAAGTGAGTAACCTTCTCTTCTTCTTCGAGGCGTGTCCCTGTGGGTGCTCCACTTGAAGTGACTATATAGCAGTACCCATGTTAGGGTGCTTCAGTTAATAATCACGTTGGGCCTTGGTGAAGACTGTGAATCCAAACGCCGTGCTCCTTTTCAGGTAGAGTCCAGGGCATAATACCTGGCGAAAGTGTGTGCAGAAGACCACGCTGTGGCTCTGCAAATGTCCATCAGGTTAATGCTGCTAAGATAGGCTGCAGAGGTTGCCATGGCAATTGCAGCAGAGGCTGCTGGTTAAAACTGGCATAAGCCACACGTATGCAGTCTAAATCCACTTGGAAAGTCTCTTTTGACATTTATGCACCCAAGGACCTTTTAGCAATGGAGATGAAAAGTCTGTTAGTTTTATGAATTGTCTTTGTCCTCTCTAGATAAAAGGCAATTGTGCGGCGCACATCGAGTACATGCCATTTAGCTTCTTCAGTGGTGGCATGAGACTTTGGGCAGAAGACAGATAGCACCAGCAGTTCATTGCAATGCCAGGAGGTAAGTATTTTGGGTAAGAACTTTGGATGTGATAGGAGGACCACCCTGTCCTTATGAAAAATGGTAAAGCGTGGGTCGGCCATCAGCACCCCAATTTCACTTAGTCTTCTGGCTGAGGTGAGAGTGACTAATGTAGCAAGTTTCACTGAAAGGTGCATCACTGAATACATGGCCATAGGCTTGAATGGTGTATGAGTTAGGGCTCGTAGTACAACGTTTAGGTCCCAGGCTAGGATGGATGTTTTAACAGGCAGAAATGTGTTCTGGATACTCTTTAGGAATCGTTTAGTCGTGAGGTGGGTGAAAACTGATTAGTCTTCGATGGGTTGGTGGAATGCGGTTATAACTGTGAGGTGTTCCTTTAACGAACTGAAGGAGAGGTTTGTGTGTTTTAGATGCAAGAGGTACTCTAGTATATTGGCCAGAGGAATGGATCTGCCTATCTGTAGTTTGACCAGGAAGAAAATCTTCACCATTTGTAGAGGTAAGATTTTCTCGTTCAGACTACGACTACTTATTAGGATCTGTCTGACCTGATCTGTAAATGTTGCTTCTACTAAGGAGAGCCAGTGAGAAGCCGAGCTCAGAGGCGAAGAATATGGGGAGATGGTTGCTGGACAAGACCCTGTTGCTGAGTCAGGAGATGAGGGACTATTGGAAGCTGCTATGGAGACCTTAGGGACATATGAAGTAGATAAGTATAGCATGTCTGAAGGGGCCAAGCTGGAGCAATGAGGTTTACTGATCCTGTCTCTGCTCTTATTTTGTTGACTAGTTGGTGAAGAAGTGGGGTTGGCGGGAAGGCACAGAGGAGGGGTGCGTTCTACAGTATTGTAAATGAGTCCCCCAGAGAGTATAGTCCAATGACTGCACTAGAACAGTACTGTGGACACTTTTTGTTCACAGAGGTTGCAAACATGTTAATCTTTGGGAATTCCCAGAGTGAAAAAATCGTGTGGAGTACATCGTCGTCCAATTCCCATTCG